GTTTTTTTTTTTATAAAATTTTTTAAAAGATAATCCGAAAGGGTTGGTTGTATGTTTTCACACTCTGAATGTTCTGTGGCATTCAGTATTACAATGAATGAAGTTCTGTTCCGCCATGTATGTATCTATGCATGGTTTTAAGTTTTATATTATTCGTTGAATTTGAACAGGGATATCTTTGTGTTTTATTATTATTGTTTTCATTTTTCTCCTCTTATGAACGATTTAGTTTTCATGATAATTGTAGTATTTATTAAAAAAATACTCATGTCCTCAAATATCTGACTACTAACTAGAGAATCAATTGTAGTTCTATGGTAAAAGGAAAATAGTATATGGTTAATTACACTTATAGTACTATTTTGTAATACAACATATCCTTCCTATTATTGCGAAATGACCACTGAAACTGTCAAAACTTAGCACGGGCAGCTTACTCAAGCCTAAATAGACATCTAGGAACAAACAGAACCTCGATTGGATTTTCGGTTAGAAAATTAGAAGGACAATTGTAAAACACAAGACTTAAAAAGCCCGTTCGAGAGGCAAAATTTTGAAATGACCACCAAAATTGCCAAAACTTGGCACGGGCAGCTTGCTTAAGCCTAAATAGACTTGTAGAAAAAACAGGATCTCGATTAGATTTCTAGTTAGAAAATTAGAAGGAAAATTGTAAAATACAAAACTTAAAAGGCCCGTTCAGTGGCTGAAATTGCGAAATGACCACCAAAATCGTCGAAACTTGGCACGGCAAGTTTGCTCAAGCCTAAATAGACTTGTAGGAACAAACGTGACCTCAATTAGATTTTCGGTTAAAAAATTAGAAGGAAAATTGTAAAACGCAAGACTTAAAAGGCCCTTTCAGAAGGCAAAATTCCGAAATGACCACCGAAACTGCTGAAACTTGGCATGGCCAGCTTGCTCAAGCCTAAATAAACTTGTAGGAATAAATGGAACCTCGATTGAATTTTCGGTTAGAAAAATTGAAAAACACAAGACTTAAAATGCTCGTTCGGGGGCTGAAATTGCGAAATGACCATTGAAACAGCCGAAACTTGGCACAGACAACTTGCTCAAGCCTAAATACACTTGTAGGAACAAACAAGATGTCGATTGGATTTTCGATTAGAAAATTAGAAAAAAAAATTATAAAACACAAAATTTAAAAGGCCCGTTCGGGGGCCAAAATTGCGAAATGACTACCGAAACTGCTAAAACTTGGCATGGGCAGCTTGCTCAAGCCTAAATCGACTTGTAGGAACAAACGGGACCTTGATTGGGTTTCCGGTTAGAAAATTAGAAAGGAAAATTGTAAAACACAAGACTTAAAAGACCCGTTCAGTGGTTGAAATTGCAAAATGACCACCGAAATCGTCGAAACTTGGCACGGACAGCTTGTGCAAGCCTAAATTGACTTGTAGGAACAAACGGGACCTCGATTGGATTTCCGGTTAGAAAATTAAAATGAAAATTGTAAAACGCAAGACTTGAAAGGCCCCTTCAGAAGGCGAAATTGCGAAATAACTACCGAAACTGCTGAAACTTGGCATAGCCAACTTGCTCAAGCCTAAAAGACTTGTAGGAACAAATGGGACCTTGATTGGATTTCCAGTTAGAAAATTAGAAGAAAAATTGTAAAACACAAGACTTAAAAGGCCTGTTTTGGAGCCAAAATTGTGAAATGACCATTGAAACAGCCGAAACTTGGCACGGGCAGCTTGCTCAAGCCTAAATACACTTGTAGGAACAAACAAGACGTCGATTGGATTTTCGGTTAGAAAATTAGAAGGAAAATTGTAAAACACAAGACTTAAAAGGCTCGTTCGGGAGCTGAAATTGCGAAATGACCACCGAAACGCATGGGTAACTTGCTCAAGCCTAAATTGACTTGTAGGAACAAACGAGATCTTGATTGGATTTTCGGTTAGAAAATTAGAAGGAAAATTGTAAACACAAAACTTAAAAAGTCCATTTGGGGGTCGAAATTGCGAAATGACCATCGGAACCGCCGAAGCTTAGCACGAACAGCTTGCTCAAGACTAAATAAACTTGTATGAGCAAACGGCACCCCGATTGGCCTTCTCATTACAAAATTAAAATCAAAATTATGAAATTCATATCGAGTTTTTTTTTTTTTTTTTGTCAATCTAATATTATTTTTTCTTTTTCATGTGACAGATTGGCAATGGTGGAAGATAGTTCGGGCTGCATCAGAAGATTTGATTTTGTGTTTTTGAAAATATTTTGATATAGGATTTTGGTAAATGACTTATGGGTTAAATGTTTAGCATCAAAATATTTGGTATTGTGTTTTTACAAATATTTTGACATAGGATTTTAGTAAATGACTTGTAGGTTAGATATTTAGCATCAAAATATTTGATTTTGTATTTTTGAAAATATTTTAACATAGGATTTGGTAATAGATTTGTGGGTTTGATGTTAATAGTTTGTAAGTACTTTGGTATGAATATTTTAGATTGTTAGAGAATTGTAATTATATTTATTGGGATGTTTAATAGCTATTAATTTTGAATTATTATGAATGTCTTGCACATGTGTATTATTATTTACATTACATTTGTGTATATATTGTGTAGAGAAAAACAGGTGTTTTTGATTATTTTGAATAGGGAAATTATTAAAATCAAAATTTGTGCAGTGAATTTTTAGTTACAGGTGATATTTTGGTAACTGTTAATATATTTGGCGACAACATATTGTTTTTGTCGCTAAAAGTTAGTGGTTATTCCAAGAACTTTTAGCAACCAAAACTTAGTCATCACTAAAAACTTGATTTTTAGCGACCAAATTAATTTTGTTGCTAAATAATACTTTTGGGGACGCATTTGTTTGTCTCTAAAACTACATAGCCTATCCAAATTTTAACCTTTTAGTGACAAATTAGAGTTTTATAGTGACAAAATATATAATTTTTGGCGATCATTTTTGCTTGTCGCTAAATGTCCACATACAGTAACAATTTATGAGTTGGTCGTCAATACTTTTAGTGACAGACCTTTGACGACCAATTGTGTACTTGTCGCTGATTCTTTTGACGATGAAATTTATATTTTTGACTATCAATTTTTTGAACATCAAATGTGCTTTTTGTTGTTGTGTCTTGTGCCAATCTGTGGGGGAGTATGGGTGTGGTAGAACCTCTTTTATGTTTTCCTTGTTTGTTAGCTAAAGACAATCAATTAGTCTCACCTCTGATGAGCCTTTTTATATTAACCACAAGTTATTTCCACCCACTGCCATGCTTCCCAATTACTTTTTCTGTTTTCAAAATTAAATCAAATCAAATCAAAAAGGAGAATTGTTACAATCCCATGGGTCTGGAGACTTTCCCATCATTGCGCTCTTTGATGTGCTATGTGGAAATTATCAGATTCCTCATAAGTCCTCTCTAACGCCTGCTTTGGTTCAGGCTTTGTTTTCAGCTTAGGAGCCCATGGACCCAAACTAGACCATCCAGTTCACAAGTCAATTGCTTAGAGATGTTTGATAATATGATTCGATATTTAAATATTAAGTGATAATTAATTAAGTTTGTGTGATAATTATAATTGATATAATTTAAAATTTTAAGTATCTTTTAAAATGTAAGTTTTTTAAAAAAAAATTAAGTTATATGAAATTTATTTAATTCTGACTAAATTATAAATGCTAAATATAAGTATCAGTATACACTATTATAAATTCACTACCACCACTACCACCATGCCACTCCACTACTGCTGTTGTTGCCCCTACCATCACCATGTCGCCGCCATCACCACCACCACGAAAATCACTACCGCTATCACTATTACCACCACCACCATGTTACTATCACCACCATCGCTATCCGATATCACCACCACTATCATCATCATCATACCATCACCGCCACCACTAACACCACCACCAAAATATAAAAATTAAAATGTACAATTTGAAAATAATAAATTTTAAATTTAATCTTACACATATCAAACAATTTATTTTTAATTCGGCATTTAAATTTTTATCCAACAACTTTTTAACTTAATAAATTCAGCATTCAGTTTTCAATATTTAATTTTCAGTCTTCAACTTTCAATTTTCAGCTTTTTCAAACAGTAGGCTTTGTTTGGATATAAATTTGTAAAGAAAAAAAAAGTGTTACATTTCACTTACTTTTTATTTTTTTTATTTTTTTAAATTCATATTTCAAATACAACTTTGTTTAAAAAAAAAATATGACAACCACACCATATTTATAAATCATTTTCCATTCCAAAATTCCAAATCTTACACTACATGAAAATTCCATAAACTTGTCTGTATGAGTTTAAGTGTGTGTTGGGGAAGTTAGCTATTTTAGTAGGTTATTTTAGTTTTGACTATTTTAATAGGTTACAATTTTTGTATTTAAAAAGATATTAGATTTTTTTTAGTTGGATGTGATATTTGTGAGAGAAAAAATAAAATGATTATAATGTGATATTTTGTCTTATTAACTATTTTTACCTATTTTATTTTATTTATTTTTTTTATGAATTTCAATAAAAAAATAACCTAAACCTAAGTTTCCAAACACCCCTGTCAAGTCAACTATATTTCCACAAAGGAAGTTGCACTGTGAAGCCTCTGAAGCTCCCTCGAAGTCTCTTTCCCACCTTATCCACTTCCACATAAGAAAGAGAAAATCACAATAAATACATGAAAAATAAGATCTACATGCAGATCAAGAGATTCAAATTATTAATCTTTTAAGAATTTTGATCAATAAGTCCAATTCATTGACTAAGTCTGTTATATAAATTATATCCAATTCAGAAGATAAAATTTGTTGCCATTTTTTCTTTTTTTTCCATTTTAAAATTGTCTTTATGTGACTGTATTTATCTAATTGTCAAAGAATCCCATTTAAATTTAATTATTCAAACTTAATAATTGTCATAATTTGTTTTAACTGGTTCTCTCTCTCTCTTTCTCTCTCTCTCTCTCTCTCACACACACACACACACACACACACACACACACACACACACACACACACCCCCCTCCACTGGTGTGAACTCTTCACACTTTTTAACATTTTGCAAATTTTTTTTCTCCTTCTACATTCAATTGTTTTTCATAACACACTCATGAAGTGTCCACGCCCTCTAATATATATATATATATATATATATACTATATACTCAGCAATTTATATCCAAAAGAGTTGGATGTATCATGTTGAAGAACACTAGTCCCCAAAACTTCACCATGGAGGTCACAGTCATATCAGCTGAAGGTCTCAAGAAAACGCCCTCCTCAGCCGCAGCTCTCTTCTTCTCCCGCCGTCTCAGACCCTTTGTCACCCTCACTCTCCCACCATTTTCATGCTCCACCACCACCACCACCACAACCACAACCACCACCAACACCAACGGTGATAAGCTCAGCCACGTGTACAAAACAAGAATTGATGATCAAGGAGGCATAAACCCTACTTGGGGTGACAAGTTCCACATACCCATCACTGATTCCACCTTCTTCCATCAAAGACACTACTCCTTCATATACCTCCAATTGTACAACAAACATGTCATGGTGGGTCAGACTCAACTGGGTTGGTGTCAGATTCCGGCGGCCGATATTTTAGATGGGTTGTCACCGGCGGGGACTGTTCGCCGCCTGAGTTACCGGCTACGGAGCAGAGACGGTTCGAGGGCTCATGGGGTTGTTAATGTTGCAGTGAAGTTGGAGGGCTCTGTTTCTTTAACGAGGCAACAAAATCGTGATCTGACACAGTCGCCAGAGATGGGTTTGTGTCAGCCTGTGATGGGTATTCCGGTGGCTACGTCGCCGGCGGAGTCGGGTGTGCGTGTGTGAAGAGCAGTTGTTGAGTGTGTGTTCCAACTTGCAAGGGAGTTGAGGTGTCAACGTGTGAGCAAAAAGTGGGCCATGGTACACGATTGGACGAATCCAACGGTTTGGATACGCTAATGAATCATTACTTACGAGTAAGTTTTTTTTTTTTTTTGGTCATATTTGATAGGATGTTGGTAGGGAGATTGGCGTCCGGATCCTCTAGAGTTAGTCTCTAGAGTGATCTCCTGAAGTGGATGATCGAACGGATGTGCATCAGCCTCACCAAAACGACGTCGTTTTGGTGAGGATTTTCCAAAAAAAAAAAAAAAAAAAAAAAAATCAGCATTTTCGATTTCAAAATTCCCTCCCAGGCTGAAGAACGCGAACACAGATGGCGGGAAGAAGCAGAGCCGTGAAAGAAGGAGAGAGGGAAGAAGACTGAGAGAGGCTGCTACTTCGTGCATCCCGTCGCTCCACCGTCGCAGTCGCCCCGCTATCGCCGCCGTCGTGCCGTTGCCACTGTCCTGCCGCCGCCGTGGCCGTCGCCCCTGTTCCAACCGAGTGAAGAAAATATAGGTATTTAGAATGTTTAAATATATGTTTTAAGTTCAATTTTTTTTTTCTGGTCTCCTCCAAATCAATCCCAGATGATAGGCCTATGGTTGAGAACATAAATTTTTTTTGCAATATCTGTGTTGTGCTGAATATTGTTCAATCCGTGGATTAAATCCATTAAATCTATTCATTTCAAATCCATGTATCGAAATGGAGCCTCAAGTGGTAGGGGGTTTGAACTATGAAGATATATGCCAATGTTGAGTTCTGGGTTAGGTGGACCAAAACAGGACCTGATCCTATACTTGAAGCTGGATTCTTACTTGTTGACAGACGAAGCAATATCTGTGTTGATTATTTAGAACAATAGTTTAGATATATATATATATATAGATAGATTTAGAACAGTGAACAGTGGAGATTAAAAACTTCCAAATCCAACTTCTTATAGTATTCTTATGCAACTAATTAAATTTCCACAATCCAATCAAAGCCCCCTTGTTGCTTGATATCCTTTAAAACTTGGCTTACTAAAACGGCATTCATGAATTAAATTTTAGCAATCCTTAGGGATTTGATATTAATTCCTCAATCATGCAAAACACAAAATTAGACTGATCAATGCTGCAAAGCAAGTAACCCAGGGCTTTGTATTATTGTACAGTCATAAGAACACAAGGTCACAAATTAAAATTGACAACATATTACCTAAGAGTGCAAATGCTGGATGGTCATGTATATTAAGCAACATATAGTGCATGAATGCTTCAAAGGACTCATTTATATTTTTTTCTTTTGAATACCTGCTGTAGTGCACATCTTAAAACCACACTGTGGTACATAACAAAGACCATAATTTAGTTTGTATTATTCAGTTTGTTTTTCGTTGATTATCTTATTCAGTTTGTATTATTTTGCAAACATAATGTACAGTTTTTGTGCTAATATTGAGCACTTCTTTATTTTTTAAGTGACTTGCCACATTGATATGGAACCTAACAATCATGAGATGTACTACGGATGCTGCCTTGTTTACTACTTACCGTGACCAACAACGCTTGGTTCAGTTTCTCATGGCTCTCACTCCCCGATTTGAGCCAGCCCGAGCATCTCTCCTTCATCGCACTCCTTTACCCACTCTTGAGCAAGCAATTTCTGAACTCCTGTAAGAGGAAACCAGATTTGGTACTCTCCATCCGCACCCTGTGGACTCTGTTCTTGCCACTCCCCAGATTCGAAGTTCTCCTTCCCCACCTTCACCACAGAAGTCCAATGCCTGCAATTACTGTCACAACCGCAATCTTCCGTCAACTCATCTTCTGGTTAATTG